TTATGCTTGTACATGGCAAATATTCTTTTTTTTAAATATTCTTGATCAATACCGAATTGATTAATATGTAACTATCCATGATAATGAATTTCTAAGATGTTCTTGATAAAATCGTTTCATTTATTTCACAAAACAGATTGTTTTTCTACTTCACAAATTAATAATTCTGCAAAATTATTCATTTCTATTATAAACGTCGTGCAACCAAAACTGGCTGGAATTATTAACAATGCGGCCAACAAATACGATGTTGCATTCTATGCGTTGTCAATCGCATCGGTTTTCGAAAATTCATCGACCTCTACGAGATTTAACAGCGGATGGTAATCGCGAACAATTATCTAATCGTCGTCTAATCAATTTTAGTTTCGAGAGAATTAAAGTCATCGCACATCCTCTCTGAGAGTATTTCAAGATTTTTCAAAAAAGAAAAGAAATTTCTAAATCACAAAGTAATATGTTGAGTTTACTTGAAGATACATAAATTTTTTTTTGGAAAAATGTCCTTTGCTAAATAAAAACAATTTCAATATAAGCAAATCCAATTTTAATATTAAATTGAACAAATATTGAAAAATATCATTTAATATAGTTCAGCAAAATAGAGGATATTTAACTTACATTTTATTTATAAGAAATATAGATAAATGAATATATCAATATTGATAAATGAATATTTCAATATTGCAAAAAGAAATTGGAAAAAAATGCTAAAAAATGAAGTATTTTTACATATCATTTTACTTATTAATTATCTTTAAATAATTATTTAATAATAAATTATTTTATATAATTAATTATACAGTTTGATAGACTGTTACTATAGACACATATATAAGATGTTAAAAAATTATATTTCATAACTATCAAAGCTACACAATTCTTTTAATGGAAGATAAAAATGGAAAATATAAAGAGCAAAAACGATTTTGTTATTGCGTAAAATTGTTTTAGTGGAAATATGATTAAGTAATTAAATAAAAATAAATAGTATTCTCCGCAAAGAATAATATTTAAATATAGCGTATCTTTTAATAAAAAACTAATAAAAAATTAATGAAAGAATATAACAGAATATTATTTTTATATAAGATAACAATCCTAAATATTAATTAATTTCTTTGCATGAGTAAGTTTGGTTCACAGTCTTCCTAATAATTAATTTTAAATTGGAAAACATTTTTCTAATAATTAATTTCTATAATATTTAAGTACTACAACTCTCATTTTATATATAAAAAAAATCCTAAATTTTTCTTTTAACAGAGAACCCAGTAATACAATATGAATAAAAATTTGAAATAAATAAATTAAACATAATTTTTAAAATATGACATAATTCCAAAGATTTTACTAATAATTTTAGAACTTATTACCTTCTTAGTTTCAAGGAACTTAAAGCTTTCTTCTTGAGTAATATTGTTACTTTCTCATATTCTTTAATATTTTTATATTCTTTGTTTATTGATATCAAATCTATTTTGCAATTTCAATTATTCTCAGTATTATGTTTATATAACTTAGAATAACATATGTAAAGCATGCGCAAATGTATGCTATTTCTAGAACTTTCTTATTTGTGAAAAAATTTTATATCCAAATTAACAAAAAATTAAAAAAAAATTTTTATATCCAAATTAATAGTGATGAAGAAAGATTTTAGTCTGATAGAATAAACATGATATAAGAATAAAAACAAATAAGTATTAAGGTTGTAAAATATTGTCACTTTAAGGTTGTAAAATATTAAGTCATTAAAAAACTCAACCAACTTTTATTTGCTCAAAAAATAAAAATTTCATTAATAAACAAATATTTTTACTTAATCTTTGACTTTCAGTCATTTTCAATATGTTCAATTTATAATATTGTTAGCAGGATCTTTGAGTTCAATTATTTTTTTATTTTTCTTTGCTTTTCATAAAAAAAAATTATGTTTTGTATTATTTGATTAATTTTATGATATTAAATAATATAAAAGCTTAAAGATAAATAGAAATTATAATTTAAATTTACATGATACTACATGATATATTTATTAATATCTTTAATTTTTCTACGTGAATCATTGTACTAATAATATGTTAATATTAATACAAATTCTACTATAATTACAACATACCTTGTTCATTCTTTTATTGTCAGGTTGAATCTTTATGCTGTTTATTAAAGTAGTGAACTATTTTATTTATAGCATAAAAAATTTGTAGTCAAAATAAAAAATATATATATTTTGCACGTACTCCAAAATGAATCATTGTTTTGCATCAATAGAAATTAACAACAAATTTTCTATATTTTACACAATATTTCTATTGTTATATTTATAAACAAATTCTTTATCTAAAATATTTTTAAAAAATATAATTTCAAAAATTAATATCATATATGATCATGTAGTATCATGTATTTACGTAGATTTAAAAATACAATTATCATTACTATAAATAAATAAACCAAATACTTTAAATATAAGAATCAAAAATATATTTAATGTTGATTATCTCCATTTTTATTATTGTTTAATTCATATAATAAAGTAATTTTATAGTTTATAAAGCACTTCATTTTTTAGTCAGTAATAATTTTTTTTATATATATAAAAATTACACATTCATTTTATTTTTTGTTACTATAATTTATATAAAAATTTCACACTTAAATACCTTTGAAACTACGGGCGATGTCATCTTGATAACTGAGTTTAGCTTAATAACAATAATGAAAACAAATTTCCAACACAATATTTCCAACTCACTATACAAAACAACTAGATTTTATGTTAAAGCTTATTTGTAAAAATAAAACATACACACGTGTTCAAAGAAATAACAAATTCTTTATAATATTATATGAATCAAAGTTTCAAGTTTTGTCAAGAAAATTAGCAGAAAATATGTCTATTGTCAAAGAAAGTATCTAGGCTAGTAATACCAACATAAGAAATATTTTTAACCTTCCTATATTGTATCCATGAAAATTTATATATTTTAAAATAATAAGTACTATTTAGAATTTGATGTTAATATTGATGAAACAAAACAAAAACAAAAACAAATCAGAATATAATTTATAAAGCAGTATGGATTTACATTAATACAAGTTTACATTAATAAATTGGTTTATTATTTAGTATTATTATATATACTATTAATTTAAGTGTAAAACTTTATTTCATAAACTTAGAATTACAGAAACTACCTATTTTAATACTAAAAGTTCTGGTTTACTATCAAAGCGGAATATATAGAAATTAATGTATTCCCGTTTGACGAATAAAGCCAATTGAAATAAATGGAATTGATCACGTGATACATATAGCGATTTTCAGCTACTAAATCATTATGGCTTTGATAAATTATATATATATAGACCAATCTTTGATAAATTATATATAATTCTTAAGCCTAATAATTATGATTCGATTTGTTACATGTAAAAATTAATTTTTTATTTTATAATATTTCAAATGTAAATTCCTATTTTTTCTAGAGTGAAAATTATTTCTTCATGTGATGATTAACTTTTAATTTTTGTAACTACATAGTTCTAGAGATATTTTACTTATCTCATAGTTGCAATATGAATAGTTTACTAATGATCATTTCATTTTATAAAATAATATTTAAAAAATAAAATAATTATTACATATTCTAAACAAAAGAAGACATTAGATATTATTTTGAATAAAAGGATAGAAAACTAAACTCTGAAATAAATAAAACAATGAAATATTTAATTTTAACTAAAGTATCATATGTATACTTCGTGATCAATTTTCCTATAAATGTTAAATAATTTGTAACTTGGACGTTATAATTTAACATGATTAAAAAAGTTCATACTTATAATACTATAAAAAAGTTATATTTATTTTATATTTATATACTAAAAATAAAACTCAAAAATATAATATATTATTGATATTTAATTAAATAATACGAGTTTGACAAGATATTTAATTTATTTAATTATTTTTTTAATAAACTAATTTTTTTACATTGAGATTTTTAAAATAAAAGTTATTTATTTTTGAAAAATTGACTGTATAGAACTTATTATTGAGTGTGATCAATCTTGAATTTAATCTAGTAACAAAATTCAAATTTAGGAGGAAATATAGTAATTTCGTATAAAATTTATAATAATATAGTTTTAGAATATCAAATAGGTTCAAACGATGAATTAGGTATAATAAATATGTCGTTATTACAATAAATAAATTATAGAAAAAATTAAAACATTTATTAATAAAAATTTTTAAAAATATTATATTGAATATACTATTTCATTTTAAAACTTTGTTATAATTGCTATTTATATCATAGATGTGTTTAATCAATAAAATATATATATGTGGAAATCTAAATGTAAAATATTTATATACACATTATACTTTGCGTATATTTATTGGAAACATGAAAGATGAAACTTAAATGTTGATCGGTCGGCCATCTGCTGATGTTGCAGCCAAAGCCACGTCATATTTTGTATGCTTTGTGACTTAGGTGTGTGAAGTATTTCTCGATTCTCTTATAAAAATTACTTTTCAGCAACCGAAAACATGAACATATTTCGACTCTTAGGTGACTTATCACATCTTCTTGCAATTATCATTCTTCTTCTAAAAATATGGAAAACACGAAGCTGTGCCGGTATACAACATTGATATGATTTTCATGTTTATTATAATTAAATGATTTTATTCAGATTGAAAATATTCAGTTTTAATAATATTTGGTGTGTTTTACAGGTATAAGTGGCAAATCGCAAATTTTATTTGCGATTGTATATACAACACGTTACCTAGATTTGGTAACAACATATATTTCAGCATACAATACATTTATGAAAATCGTTTTTATTGTAACCTCTTATGTCACAGTTTTTTTAATGTATGTAAAATTTAAAGCTACGTATGATCATAATCATGATACATTTAGGTATGTCAATTTTAGAATATATACATATTGAATAATGCATAATAGTTTACTATATACATATACTATTTACATGTGTATAAGTAATTTATAAATAATATTTATAAGTTTTAATTCCTTTACATGCGTTATTTTTTTCAGAATTGAATTCTTAATTCTACCTGCATCGGTGTTGGCATTATTAATCAACAATGAGTTTACAGTTATAGAAGTTCTATGGACATTTAGCATTTATTTGGAGTCTGTAGCAATATTGCCACAATTATTTTTGGTATCAAAAACGGGAGAAGCAGAAAGTATTACCAGTCATTATCTTTTTGCTTTGGGATCTTATAGAGGCCTGTATTTGTTAAATTGGATATATCGTTACTATGCAGAAAGTCATGCTGATTTAATTGCTATAGTTGCTGGTTTAGTACAAACAATTCTTTATTGTGACTTCTTCTACCTCTATATTACCAAAGTATTGAAAGGCAAGAAATTACAACTACCTGCTTAGCTGCGTAGAAGCATTATCATTTGGAAAATTATATATTGCTCAAAGGAGCAATATTATTATCAATTGAATTTATATAAATTTTGGCAATATCTAAAAGTCGAGGAATGCTCGTGTACAAAGTATACATTTTATTAATTGTAAAGCATTCCATTTTTTCGTATTTTCAACATCACAAACATCCATGTATAATTTTTCATCTTTAACCCATATGGCAATATTTGTATTTTAAAATGTTATCTTCATTAATTTCTTTCAGCATATTACATCATTAAATAATACATAAATATGATTATGATAATTATATTTAATTAAAATATACATAAAATACAAAATAGTTGAAAATGAAGATTATAAGATTGTGATTTCAAAATTTGTTCTATTTTCTAGAAATTAGAAATTAATTGTATTGACAATGTGTATTTTAAACTTTTGATATATTAATTTTATTTAAATGAAATTAAATCCCATTAATTAATTAACAACGCAGAATTATATATTTTACTAAATCGGTTACATGTATTGCTTCACTGAGAGTTGTTGATCTATCCCTTATATATATAATGCCATTTTCAAGACTAGTCGTATCAACAGAAACTATGAAAGGAATCAAGCATGTATTTATAATTTTTTCTGAAGTGGTTAATATTGTATTTAGGCCCTTTGTTCTTAACATGTTATTTAAGTAAAGTACAAAGCGATTTAAATCATCATTTTGAGTATTCTCTTCATTATTTGTTCTTTTTATATGAAATGCAACTTTATGTGGTGCTAACTTGGAATGAAGATGCATTTTGGTAGACTTATTCATGTCATATGCGTCACAAAGTAGTGCTAAACAGCCCCAATCTAAAGATGCTTTATGTTCGACCATTTGTACGTTGGTAAAATCTTTTTTACTATCAACCTGAAAATAAAATAATCCATAAAAATAACTGTTATTTTTGAACTTTTACAAATTCAAGTATATAAAAAAAAAAAATGCAAGATACTTGAGAGAATAATTTTCGAACATCTGTATGGTAAGCTATTTTTTCTACAATAACATTACCAAATGAAAATTGTGCTTCAATATCTACTATATTACAATTTTTTATTTTTTTCTCTTCTGTAAGCTTAAATCTTGAAGGAAATTGTGCTAGTTTTCGCCACCAAATTTTACGTTCTTTTTGTATATTATGAAACAAATCTTTTGTTTCTGTATCATTTTGAAAAATAATTGTTTCAGCAATTCTGTGAATATTTGGTTTTTTCATGGATAATAAATCTGAAGTCCAATAATTTTTGGAATTTTCTATTTTAGCTAATCCAAATGGTATATCACTCATTTCAGTTTTAATAATAAAATTTAAAGTATTATTAGTTTCATCTGATAGAAATATATTATAGCGTGACATTGTAACACAGTGTAAAAACCACTGTTCTTCAAGGTTTTTTAACAGCATTTTACCTTGAGGTCCGTATTTAAGTCCGTGTTCTGTAAGACTGATAAAATGTCCACTTAATTCTTTTAGAACATTTGTTATATTCATGATGCTTTCGTAATAGTTTGTAATGGTGCTACAAAATATTCTTCTTCTGTAACAGCAGCATTCATTAAGATTTCTTTTTTAGATGTATTATTCTCTATATTATCATTTCGTAAAAAAATGAATTCTTTTTCAAATGGACTATACATAGGTTCAATTTCTTTATCTATCTTTGTATTGCGTAAATGTTCTGTAAAAACAATTGCAGCTTTTAGAACAGAAAAACTATCAGCACCATCAATATGAACTAAAGATAATTGTTCTATTTTCTTTATTGTCTCTTGTTTTATAATTGATGAAGTTGAACTCGAATGTATATACTTCACAGAATGACAATGAGAGATTGAATTTAAAAACGTTAGTAAGAATACATGATTCAGTCGTCGAAAGTATCCAACAAATGCCATTTGAATGTTATTCATAACTATTAGTATTCTTACTTATTCAACATTATTTAACATTTATTGTACAATTTCACAACTCTTAATAATTATAGTACAATGAGTAACTTTCAATATTATATTTTAAGGAAACACTTTGTCATTGGTTATGGTTGTACAATGTAATACATAATGAAAGAACAGTGTAGTTGCTATATTAGTGACATCTGTTGATTGTTAGAATTTTCGTTAGTCTTTTTTTTTAAATACTAGAATATGTCAACAATAAGATCCATTTAAAACTGTTATTAAAATATTGTTCATAAAAATTTTTAATTTTATTGTTTCGTGTTTCGTTGTTGTTTTGATTTCTAAGATTATTTTACTTACATTTACAATTAGAAAAATAAAAAGTTTAAAGAAAATAAAAGTTACACAAAATATATATGATTATAAATGTAATCAAATAAATTTAAAATAACTATCTGGAAAAGAAAGCCAACTCTAATTTTGTTGAATTTCAGATATATCGCAAAAATAGTCGTCTTAACATCTGTCATGAAAAAAATAAAATTCCATTTAATTTGAAATTTATTCCATCACTCGAAAATATAAAATATAATTTGCACCATATAATGTACTCCTTTGTACCAAATTTGTAAAAATATTTCTTTAGTCGATTTTGCGAGATATAT